AGCACTCTGTCTTCTCAGGGAGATCAAGCACATATTTTTTCTGCTATCTTCAAGGCCGTGGTGAGCGAAGCAGTTGCAGGGGAGTTACAAAGAACAAACACTTTCCCTTATCTGCTCTAATATGCAGAGCCAGCAACTCCCCACAAAGCGGTTGTGCCATCTTATAACTCGTACGATCAAAGTTTAAGGCATTTATTTTTTCTGATTCCACAAGCATGTGGCACTCACTGCAGACATCTGCAGCACCAAACGCTACACATCATTCAGACATTTCCCACGCTTAAGAAGGAACGATCCTACACATGGGTGCAGGCTGGGGGCTGACTGGCTAAGCAGCAGCTCTGTCGAAAAGGATGCGGGGGTTACAGCAGACAATACACTGAATATGAGCCAACGGTATGCCCTTGTTGCAAAGAAGGCTAATGGCATCCTGTACTGGGCTGAGTTAGGAGGAATGTTGCTGGCAGATCAAGGGAAGTGTTTCTTCATCTCTACTTGGCACTGCTGAGGCCACATCTGGAGTCCTGTGTCCAATTTTGGGCCTTCCATTACAGAAAGGATGTGGGCAAGTTGGAGAGTCTAGGGGAGAGCAACAAAAATGGTGAGGGAGCTGGGGGACGTGACTTGAGAGTGTCATAACCCAATGATTTTTAGTGCCTCAGCACAGTGAAATTTTCCCGCCACATGGAGCTTTCTTTGCACGGTGGATTTCTCAGCTGCAGAGAGAAATCCCCGGTGCAAAAGAGTCCCCGCCATGTAGCAAAATAGTGCAAAATAGTGTCCCATTATTGGTCAGTTCTAAATTATTCCTATGTGGCGGCTGGCAATTGGCTCGCTAGCCGTATAAAGGGTTAGAGTGGTTTCCGCCCAAGTTGAAGGAGGTCTCCACTACCATCTCGTGGGGAGCTCTGGGCGTGCTGTGGAGCCTAGCAAGCTTCGCGTGTGTCTTGGAGGAGAACTTAGGGGCCTAATGTAAACTTCTAATCCTTCCCGTCATCGTGGTGTTATATATATATATATAACTATATATATATATATATAGTGACGTACCCCCATGTTCAGCGCAGTTTGGTTCGGTGCGGTTCGCAAGAGATCTCATCCCTGTTTATTTTTGCAACTGTAATTCAAGCAAGTTATCTTCCTGCACTGCGACCATCGGCGGTGTAAGTAAAGTTTTCTTTTACAACCAATATGCTTCTGTGCCTAACTCTACCCCATCGTGGAAAATACCCGCCTTACGGTCCGGGCTACTGGCCATAGCCTTAAACCACCGCTCAGCCCCGACAGAGAGGAGAAGCTGAGGGACCTGGACTTGATTAGTCTGGAGAAGAGAAGAATTGTGGGGGAGGCTTAATAACAGCCTTTAGTGACCTGAAGGGTGGTTACAGAGGGGATGGAGCTGGACTGTTCTCGGTGGTGACAGATGACAGAACAGGAGCAAGGGTCTCAAGTTGCAGCAAGAGAAGTTTATTTTAGATATTAAGTAAAATTTTCTCACTAGAAGGGCAGTAAAACACTGGAGCAGGTTACCCAGAGAAGTGGTGCAATCTCCATCCATGAAGGTTTTTCAGACGTGGGTAGATAAAGCTTTGGCCGGGATGATGTAGTTGGGGCTGGTCATACTTTGAGCCAGAGATTGGACTAGATGTGACATCCTGAGGTCCCTTCCAACCCTCATTTTCTACGATGCTATGACCTGCCCTGTCTCATACTTCAGGAAGTCCATTTGGGTTTATGCAGCAGCTCACAAGGTAAATGATGAGTTGGTAAGGTCTTATATTCAGTCTCATTTTCCAGTTTCATGGTAAAGTAGCCAGCACTGAGGGAAAACTCTGTTGTTTCCTCTGGCCTAGTACTCCAAGATACATTGCTTTGAGACTGCCTAAACTGTTTGTGGCATGGATTACCCTTTTATAATAAGGGCTCCACAGCAGCAAGCAGAACAGGGTGCTAATCAAGAACAAAAAATAGAGGTGTTCAAATATGACCAATTACAAGTATTTCTCTTTAAATCATACACTAAGAGTCCTTGTCTTTCTGAAGCAAGCCACTTATGTTCATCTGGGTTAACATTTTTGGGTTTTTCATTCGAAAAAGTAAAGAAAAAAGGCCCTACAATATAAATTTTTTCCAGTTTACTGTTCCTTCCCTCATTTCCCATGGTGAGGAAAGGGAAGAGAAGGGGAAAAAATTACTACTATTGTCCTATAATGTAAATTGCAAAAAATCTTTGGGCAGAGACTACCCTTTTGTTTGGTTTGCACAGAACCAAGCACTATGGAAAGTTACTGAGTGCATCTGGAGTTCCTTAGTGCACCTGGAGTGTACCTAAAAACAAACAATAATTATTCCCCCAAAATACAAAATATAAAACATAAAATATAAAAATGTAAACAAGGGGAAACTTCAATCTTATATGCATAAGGCCACTGTCAGCCAGGCCTTCATAACCTGAAGGGGAATAAAATGGAGTTGAATTGCCATTATGTGTAAGCGAGCAGATCACGTACCCAGCTTAAGCTGGGGTCAAAAGGACATGACCCAAAACCTCTAGGCTAGCGCAAACTGGAACAATCCTATCCTAGTCCAGTAAAAACGTGGCCTGCTGAGTCAGCCCAGAACGGGAAGTGACCCTGTGGTTACAAGCCAGAAGAAACCAGTTAAACTAACACTGCTATACTAAAAATAAGTAAAAACATGTGCATTACTATCAAAGTCATGGCAGATGCTGATTGGTATATGCTGTTGCTGTGCTTATGATGTCATATTTTCTATATAAACTCACCTCACCTATTGTACGGGGTCAGACCTCTTCACAATTCTCCAATTGTGTATAAGTCTGTCCAGAATGCATTCTCTAATAAACCAAGTTCTTTTTAACTTTGATTAGTCTGTTCGTTTGAGCCTCCACCCAACGAACCTGGGGACAAGAGTTTTCCCCAACAAACCCTTTCTACAAGGGCTTCCCTTGAAAACCACCCTCTACATCACAGTCGAAGGGCTGGGCTTCTCCAAAGGCTGCTCAGGAAGTGACAGTGCTCTGGCACGAGGCCATGGGCTGGGACAGCTGTGACCAGGAGAAGTAGGGCCAGTGTCTGCTCCGCTCTGCTGAGCTGGCACTTGAGCCCCAGCTCACCAGTGAGGACGGGGGTACCGGGACACAGGTGGAGCGGTTCCCTGGAGAGCAGGAGCAGCAGTTCAACCGCTCACTGTTGTGTGAGTCAACACACACTCAGTGGAGCATCCTGAAGAGTGTACACGTGCTTCCCTGGGGACAACTATTAGCGGTTACATAGTTGTGCTGCTGCTGCTTGTCCCTGGGGAGCATCTGTGCCTGCATGCCCTGGCACGTGGCAGGTTGCCCCAAGTGGGGTAAGGGAGGCTGGGGCTGGGGGCCTTATCTGGGGTCCTGGGGACCTCCCGGGCTCCAGCAGCTGCAATCCGGGCACACAGAGCTTGGCCGGCAGCCACAGAGTGCAGCTCTGGCCAGCCAGGCTCTGGTTTCGGGTGCCGCACGCTGCCGCCACGTGTGACGCCCTGCTTTTTTCAGGCATGCATTTTTTTTTTTTGGTCAGAAAAACCCACTGTGCTGCAAGTTAACAGTGCGGCAAATACCTGCATGTGTTGCATGCAGTTTGCAGTGCTGAAGACTAGTCTGTGGTGCTGCACGCTCCATGTGTGTGCTTGTCTGGATGCACCCAGTGACTCTCAACCAGGGTGCCATGGCAGGGTGCTGTGGGTACCATGTCAGCATGAAAGCTTGCAGAAAAGGAAAATTTTCTTGCCATTTTCCAGTTGGTCTAATGAAAGGTATCATTTTGGAACCAAGAGTTCTGGTTTTTTGCATGTCAGCATAATGCTCTTAGGTGTGTAGATGTGAGTTACAAGTTAAACCCAGGTTTCAAGTAGAAATCCAGTGTGTCATAAATGCCCCGACTGCAATGGCCTTTCTGAGTTGTTTGCAACAGAAGAATTTCTCTATGCTTTTTGCAGACTCATAAAAGAAATTAAAAAGAATGATGTAATCTTTTTATGTAATCTTTTTATGGTATATCTAGCTTTTGCAAACTATATCTAACTGAATATTTAAGGCAACTTACTGGTGCTGGGAGGGGTGTGGTATGTGTGTGTTAAGAGATGCTTGCAGAGCACAGCGTGTGGGATGCGGAGGGTTCCTGGAATGCCTCCCTAACACCAGCAGGATAATGTCTCCCTGTCACCTGTAAGATAGCAAGAAGTTCAGAAAAAGGTCTCATTATAATGCTAAAAATCACACCCCTGGGCAGGGCAAAAGTATGTTAATGAAACATATATGTATGTAAATGAATTACATGGCTAAAACATAGGTATAGAGACATGCTCAGTAGAGAACGTCTTATGTCAGTGGCTTGTAACCAATCACTGAGCGATACACTTGCAAACATATGTATAAAAGGTACCCAAAGGTAGAAACCGGTGGTGCTTGCTTTGCAAACGATTGCCAAGCACCCCTCTCTGCGCAGACTGGAAACAATAAAGATTAAGTTGGATCCTCCACCCCTGTGTGTTCATTGGCAAAAGCGCACCGGGCACGAACTCACGCTGTCCTTTGGAGACAACAAGAAGAGCTGGCATTTTCTGAGGGATGCTTGGAGTCTAATGAGAGGTGGCTGGGGTTTAATGAGAGATGCCTTGAGCCTAAAAGAGGTGGCGAACCAGTGTGCTAGCTCAGGAGCTCGTGTAAGCAGAGCTCAGGGCTGCCTTAGGGGCTGGCTCCAACCCCAGAGAAAGTCCCCGCTGGGCCGGGCAGAGGAGGACGGTCTTTCCCTGCACAGACCCCGCTCAGGGAAGAGCCCTGCTCAGCCCGGGCTCCTGGGTCAGTGGAGGAGGCTGCAGCAACTTGTGGCAGACTCTGTCCCTAACTCAGAGCCGGGAGCTGCCCCTGAGAGCAGCCCAGGCTGCAGCCCCCCAGCTCAGGGACTTCTCCAGCTGGAGCCAGCCCCAGGGCAGCCCTGGACCCTGCAGAGGCTGTGTGTGTTAACTGTTCCCCTGCGCTGGCTCTGTCTGCTTGGGCTCAGGGATTGGTAAGGCAGGGGCTCCGCCCAGGCTTTGCAGTGACAGCAGGAAGTGAAACAGGCTGTTGCACTCAGGAAAGTAAATTTACTTGTCCGGCTGCTCCCCTCTGCCCAGGAGCCATGGCTGCGGGGGACCTGGCAGGGAGCATCCAGGAGGAGCTGACCTGCTCCGTATGTCTGGACTATTTTACGGATCCGGTGACTCTTGACTGTGGGCACAACTTCTGCCGCGCCTGCATCGACCAGTGCTGGGGGGAGTCGGAGCCAAACTGCTGCTGCCCCCAGTGCAGGGAAACGGCCCCGCGGAGAAACCTGCGGCCCAACCGGCAGCTGGGCAACGTGGTGCAGCTGGTGAAGGGGCTGAGGCTGCAGGCGGAGAAGGAGCCCGAGGGGCAGCGCATGTGCGAGAGGCACCAGGAGCCTCTGAAGCTCTTCTGCGAAGAGGACGAAGCCCCCATCTGCATGATCTGCAGGGAGTCCCGGGCGCACAGAAATCACACGGTGATTCCCATCGAGGAGGCTGCCCCCGAATACAAGGTAGGGAAGAGCTGTCCTGGGCCTGGGAGTCACAGCTCCGGCTGCTCTGCAGTCAGGCACCCCCGTGTGCGTCTGATCAGCCTGGACCAGAGCCGGGACCTGCCGAGATCGGGGCGCAGGCACCTGGCGGGAGACAGTGGGTCTGGGAGGGACGGGGCAGGTCCACCTCCCTGGCCAGGAGTCCCCTTGCAGCTGGGGTCGCTCGCTCTGTGGCTCAGGCCTGTGGGAAGTGCTCGCAGAGCCTCACGCTGTGCAGCGAGGATTTTACTGCCTAGGGCCCCAAACCAGACATCAGAGCTATTTCCTGTATTTCCAGGAACAAATCCGGAGCGGCCTCGAGCACCTGAGGGAGCAGAGAGAGGAGCTGCAGGGCCTGAAACGCGCCTGGGAGCAGGAGAGTGAAAGGCTCCTGGTAGGTGCCCGGCGCAGGGAGGCAGCGGTGGCAGCAGGTCAGGGGTCTCGGTGCTGCTCCCTGTCCGTGGAGTTGGGAGGGGAGGAAAGATGTTCAGGGCTGAGGCAGTGAAAGGTTCAGGGTCAGATAAACAGGGCAGGGCTGACTCCACCCTCACTTCCCTGGTGTAAATGAGGAGTGGGATCCTGAGGGTTTACACTTGGGCAAAGAGGGCACCATCCACCCCTGCCCCCAGCTGCTTGGCAGGGAGGAGAGGGCAGTGTAACTGCTGCACATGAACTGGTGTCAGTGAGGCTGGGGTGGTGCCAGGGGAGGTGGGGGTTTCTACTGGTGCCAGGGTCAGGCCTGGCAGGGGTCTCTGGGCCTCCCTTAGTAGCTCAGGCAGGGTCATTGGCCTTGGGGAGGCTCCTCATTCATGGCTGAGTTGGGGCAGTGCTGCTGTGTCCTGGCCCTGCCCTGCAAACCCCTGGCTCCCAGGGGCCAGCTGCAGCCAGAGGGTTTGAGTGCCTGAGCGCTGTGAGAAGCTCCCCTTGCCTCTATGCCCTGGGGTATATGCACCAAGCTTCACCCTGTGGGGTTGGAAAGAGGCACTCTGTGCAGCCCAGAAAAGGTTGGGTGCCATCTCCCCTGACCCCGCTGTCTCCGTGCTCCTGCCCTGCCCCGTGTCTCCCTGCCCATCCCAGAGGCAGACGGATCTGGAGAGACAGCTGGTGGTGTCTGAGTGCGAGGGGCTGCGCAAGCTCCTGGATGAACACCAGTGTCTCTTGCTGGCTCGGCTTGGAGAGCTGGATGCAGAGATTGTGAGAAGGAGGGAGGAAAATGCTGCCCGCCTGTGTGAAGAGACTGCCCGCCTAAGCACCCTGATCATGGAGCTGGAGGGGAAGTGCCAACGCTGGCCTGAGCTCCTACAGGTGAGACTGGGTCTGATGTGCCCCAATGCCCAGTGCATGGAGAGGATGGCTCCCTTGTTCTTTTGAGGTCTGGGGGTGACACAGAGAAGAGGGCACAGCTTGGGTTGTCTGCAATGCCCTGAGACCAGAACTGCAGGGAGACAGGGGTTGGTGCAGTCGGGGAGGCAGGGGAGGGTGTTGAAAAGCTACTTCTGGCCTCGCCCTGGTGCCCTGTGCAGATGGACAGCCGTCCTTCCAGAGCAGTGGGTAAGAGAGGGGCTTTGCTTCCTGGCATGAGTAGGCTGGGCTGGGGCATGCCACTGACACTCTTTTCTGTCTCTTTTTCCCCTCCAGGGTGTCCAAAGCACCGTAAGCAGGCAAGTCTGGGCTCCATCTCACCCCTCATGCCCCACTGGTTAACTCCTGGCTGCAGCCCCATCCCCCAGCACTTGACTCTATGACACCCTTCCCTCAGGGCCCAGCCTCCTCCATCCCCATGGCCCTGGGGCTGCTGCTGCTATCACCCCGTAACCCCGCTGGGGGTGAGGATTGTCCTATAGCAGGAGTGAGCAATTAATGGGTTTTGGTGAGGTGTTGACAGCCACACACACGCGCGCGCGTGCGCACACATGCACAGACACATGCGCACATGCTCCTTGGCCCAGGCCTGCTGCCCCCTGCCTGGAACCCAGAGCTGGCATCTGCCAGCTGCATCCACAGCTGCAGGAGAGGGGGATAGAGCCTGGTTGCAGGCTGCCACGCTGTTCCACCGCTGGCACTCATGTGTGCACACCTCCCCAACAAGCCTGCAGCTCCCAGGAGCCCTGATGGAGGGATGGGATGGGATGGGATGGGATGGGATGGGATGGGATGGGATGGGATGAGCCATGCACAGGCCCCGGAAGCTGCTGGATGGAAGTAGCCCCACTCCCCACCTAGCTCCATCTTGCAGCTGGAGCCGGAGCAACCAGGGTGCTGGGAGGGTGGGGCTGCTTCTGCTCAGCATTGCCTGCAGCACTTGGGAGATGCAGTCCAGTCTCGCAGGCCCTGAGCACCACCTGCCAGCAGAGGCCAGGGCTCACCTGCAGCTCACCTAGGGCCTGCGGGGCCAAGCTGCATCACCCAGGCACTGCGGGGCTCGCTGGGCAGAAACAGCATCACCCACCTGCCTGGTACCAAGTGGTGGGTCCTGGGCGAGTCGCGCTCAGCCCCCCAGCGTCAAACGGTGGGTGGCAGAGGTGGCAGGGGGCGCTGCCTATGCCCAGTGTCCCCTGCAGATCCAGCAGAAGCCAGAGATGCAGCCATCGCCTCTGCAGCCTGCCAGCAGAGCTGGGGGCCCAAGTGCAGCTTGCTTAAGGCCTGTGCACAGTGCCGCCACACATGCTACCTGCCAGCAGGCTGGATAAAATCAATTGGCATGCCTGATCCAGCCTGCAGGCCATATTTTGTCCATCCCTGCCCTATAGCCATAAGCTGAATAAGCCTCTCCCCGGGGGGTTGGGCTAGCTCAGGGTCTCTAAGCCATGGGGCCCAGCTGTAATGACTGAAAGTCTGTCCTGTCTGGGATGGCTTAGGGGTTTGCGGGGAGAGAGCTGAGTATCTCAGCCCAGGCCCCAGGGGGGCAGTGGGGCAGTGTTCCTGGGCAGAAACCCTACCCAGGAACTGCAGCAGGGACCAGGCTCCATGGAGGATGGGACTGAAGTGGAGGAGCAGCTGGGCCTGGGGAAAGGGCCCCTCTTTCTGTCCCAGAAGCCACCCCTCCCTTTCTATTGGGGCCCCATGGACCAGGCCACATGTGAAGGGAGCTTGCGCTGCCACTGTCAGGGCTGTTTTCCCCGAGGATGGGCTGAAACAGGGGCCTGTTTGGAGTATGAACATCTCCAGTCACGGTGCCCTGCAGCTCTGGGCAAAAGCCCTGGGGCAGACACAGTTACACCAGAAGCCAGTTCTTTCCCAGTACAGCTTGTCCCACCTGATCTGTTGGAGCAAGCTGTACAGGGAACAGCACCACTTTGCTGGTGTGAGCTGTGGCTGCATGAGGAGGGTTTCCTGATTGAGACCTGCTGGGATAGCTCTATTGGGAGGGCTTCATGATGCAGACATTGCTGACCGCCCAGGGTGCGCAGGCACCGGCTGGCCTGTCGGAGTCTCTGCCCTGTGGCCTCAGATCCCACTCATTTCCCCCTGTGGCCTTGAGGATGTGGGAACATCTGGTTGAGGAGTGAGAGGAATAATTGCCCATGTGTCTCTGCAGGGGCAAGGAGGGGACACCTCTGCATCCAGCCCCCAAGTTCCCTGAGCTGGAGAAGAGAATCCAGGATTTCTGTGAAGAAAACAAGTTGCAGGAGGCTGTGATAGCGTTTCTGGGTAAGGGGCACGGCATGGGCCTCTCTCTCATTGTACTGGGGTAAAGGCAGAGGAAGGGGGAAAGGGTCGTGCAGGGGAAGCCATGGAGCTGGGTTATAGGAGACCTTGTGTTTATGCTCCCAGAGGGTCCAAGCTGGGTTTAGAGGCCAGTGTGAAGGGGAACAAAATGGAAGCCAACAGCCATTTTATGCAAGTGAGCAAGTCAAGTACTAATCTGCTGACTATATATATATATATATAAAACCCCAGGAACCTGACCTTGCAGTCACAGTACTGGCTTAAACTAGTTCTTTCATTGCAACAAGTTAAAGACATGCGCATTCTTGTTAGACCGTGGCAAAGGCTGATTGGTGTATACTGTTGCTATGCCTATGATGTCATGACTTCTATATTAACCAGCTTTACCTGCAATACGAGGTCAGACCTCATCACAGTTTCTGACTGTGTATGACTCTGTCCAGAATGCATTCTTTAATAAACGAAGTCTGCAAACTCTAAATTTCTTGTTCGTCTGAGCCTCCGCCCAACGAACCCGAAGTGGGGAAAGGAGATCTTTCCCCCACAGTTTTTTGGTGTCAGTAGTGGGATGCGGCGGAACACCGAGTCGACGCCTTGAACGGTCCGGGGATACAACTGACACCCGGGGCGCCACAATCGGAGCTAAGAAATCCTATTTCAAAAATCTCACTTAATGGGTCTCAGTGCTCTCTAGACTGAACAAGTGACGTTTGCCGGCGGTAAGCGCTCCCTATGTTATTTATTGTGGTTTGAGACTTAGTTTATATTTTCCTCACTGACTGACAGTATAACAGACAATTTACCTGTGGCTGATATTTGGGATCCCTGACAGGATGACTGTTCTGACTTCGTCCGGAGACGCCTGGACTCTTTTCTCTCTATCCCTTTGCCTACTGGCCTTTAACAGTCCCTGTCCTGATAATCCTTGATAATTGGCCGTTTTCTGAAAATTTATTTCTTTAACTAAATTGGGTCAAGGATTTTCTTGTCCCGATCCTAAAACACCCTTGAGTTATATGTGTAAAACGTACTGTGCCCAATTAGGTCCCAAGAAACAGAAGCGTTTAGTTGAATTAGCGCATGCTTGGAATGGTTACACCTAAGAAAATCCTGCATTGCAGTTTCCAGATGAAGGAACCTTTGATTCCAAAAAATTACATTATCTGAGAGGAGTTTTAGAAATACTAAAACTCAAACCCAAACCCAAACAGATGGAATATTGGTTCCTATGGGATAATGAAGCTTCAAAAAGAAAGCAAAAATCCATTGAGGCTAGTCTTAGAGATTCAAATGAATTTTTTAAAAAAAATTAGCTACATTAAAAGAGGCAAAATTGGGCCAGCCTTCTATACCAGAGCAGCTCCCCACTGCTCCATCGCTCGCTAATTGCCCGCCGGCATATAAAAAGTTTACCCTAGCATTCCGGTGCCCAACGTTACCAACATCCAAGCAGATTCAGAAGACCTATTAGATTCCTGGGTACCCAGCTCTGTTCCTGTTCCTCTTCTTCCTCCTGCCTCAGTAATCAGATCAGCTCCTCATGCTGTGGCGGCAAACTCCTCACCTACCGAACCACCAACTAGCCTCCTTTCTCCCCCTTCTTCAGTTACTCTAGGCTCTGATGAAGATGATTTCCCTACTTTGCGAGACATTCAGAAAAGTCTAAAGACTGAGTTAAAACCCTTATATGACATAAAAGATGTAAAAAGGGGTTCAAATGGACAGATTGTGATAACTCTATATGCCAAGGAGGGAGGAAGATTGATTGTAACCACCTTTGACGACCCACGGTATTTTAAGCCAACCATCCTCTGGCCATTGAGACAATATCCACCTCAAATCCAAGGTGGGCAGCAAACCATTGTCCATGTCCCCAGGGAGACACACAGCAGCTGGCCACACCGCTACTGCGGGGACCCAGCAAAAGTCCCGGTATCCACTTCATCTGTAGAGTCGAGCGTAGAACTATATGGAGATCCCAACGCTCCCATGTTCCGGCTCTTGTTGAGCCCATTGATTGGGGAACCCCTGGGAAATGTTTTAAGCTCCCTAGGGAAGCTGACCAACGCCCAGCAAGAACAACATACGCAGAAGGTCGCTGCTGCCGCAACACAATGGACAGCCGTGCCGAACAAACCCCGCAGTACGGGACCACCGGAACGATCTCCGGAAGAACGGGCCATGTTCGGGTTCCTCCTTAATAAGAGCGGCCTGACCAAGGCACAAATCCGCCATCTGGGAGACACGGCCCAACGGGCCCTGGCGGAGAGACTGGGCTTCATGTTCCGCTCGGGAGACAGCGAAAAGGAAAAAAAACAGTAGCGGTCGCCGAGACGGGCTCCGCCGGCCGCGACTCCACCAATGACCGCCCATACGCCACTTTTAACGTGAGTGCAACCTCTTCTTCGCGCACTATCCCTGTTCGGTTACTTCTTGACACGGGTGCACAGGTTAACGTGCTACGCCCAGAAGTGCCCCACGTTCGCACATCAAAAACCTTGTTCGTCAGGGGGCTTCACAAAACTTCAGCCACTACCATGGTAAAATTTTTTATTGCACCCTACCCGCTTTACACAGTCATTGGTGACCTTAATATTTTAGGTGTGCCTGCCATTAAAGCCCTGAAACTGAAACATGCCATTTATTCGGCCCTCCCGCTAACCATTACCCCGGCCACGAAGCATCAGCCACAGCTGAGCATCCCTACGGCGTGGCATTACCAACCCATCCCCACACGGCCGGCGTTGCAGCCCAAGGTGGACGCGCTCCAACAGGGTTTAGAACAACAAGGACGCATTCGGCCAGTCGATGCATCAACCTACCTGTCCGCGGGCTGGGACATACCTAAACCGAGTAACCCGACCGATGCCCAACTGGTCCTGGACTATCGCCAAGCTAACCGCCGGTGCGTGCCACTCCAGCTCCCGGCCTCACACACAATTACTGAAATCCTAGACGCTATAACAGCCACCCAACGTCAGGGAGAGTGGTTTGCGACCACTATCGACCTAAAAGACATGTTTTACTCTATCCCCATTAGTGACCCGCAGGGGATACTTAACATGTGTGTGGCAGGGAGAATGTATACATGGGCAGTTTGCCCGCAGGGATATCGCAATACCCCTGCACTGGCCACCGTGGCCATGGGAGAGACATTGCGCACCTTTGAGCCCCATCGGCCCCCCCACACTCACATATGGTCCTATGTTGATGACATCATCATCCTTGGTGCCGATCGCGCCAGTGTTCGAACCGCCACGGCCAGCCTCAGCCAACACCTACAAGATGCGGGATGGACTGTTAACACAACAAAGTCCCACCTCGAGCCCACAACAGACGTCACCTTCCTGGGGACCCGATTCTCCGGGCCATTCTGTTGGGGGACCACACATGGAATGGACGTCCCTTTATCAGACACACACCCTAGCACGCTCAAAGACTTTCAAGCCCTGCTCAGACGCTTAAATTGGTTTCGCAATTTCCTCACCCCTGAACACCTGCCCCTCCTGCAACGACCACAACAACAAATTCCTAAGAAGACCCAATGCCGCTGCCCATGGACACCTAAAGACCAACGCAACCTTGTCACTCTATTAACCACAGTTCGAGAAACAAAGCTTCAGGCCCTACCGCTAGCCACACGACTGGCGATCTCCGTAGGGTATACCACTGCACATCTTTGGTTTACCGCCTCCGCTCCAGACCAACAACCTCTGGCATACGCGGGACACAAAACCCTACAATCTCACCAGCACCTGTACGGGTGCCTGGGGAAAATCATGCTGGCCTCCCAAATGGCGGAGCACCTAGCCGTGTCATCGGGGACACTCCTTGGCCCAGGGGCAAGCCTACTCACCTCTCTTGACCCCTTCCGACCACATCAAGAGTTCCAAGGGACTCTAAAACTTGGACCGGCCTCATCCTACGACATCAATACTATTGGTCTGGCTGGGCCCACTCTGACGTAGAGGGATTCCCAGACCCCACTGCTTCAGGCGCGACTGATAGACCCATCCTGTATGGAACAACAACCTCAGCCTGGATGGCGGCCGACGGGACCACCCGAGACAATGGCCGTTACGGATATTACTGCCAGCCGTGCTACGATATCAACATAACCTCGTCCAACCTCAGCCCTAATTCGGCACAACAAAATGAACTCCTCGCCTTCCACAGCATTCTCGAACACTGCCTCAAACATCACAACGGCACCCTCCCGGTACCCATCATAGCTATTGGCCCTGAATACATCTACCGCATCGCCGCGGGTGCCGCCGAGCCCTCCGAGAACATAGTCCAGTGGGAAGACATCTTCCAAATACTTCGCCGCTTCACCGTCTCCCCCATGCTCCGACACACCCACTCACACAGACCCGACACCAACCCTATACATGCCACCATCGACAAGCTGCTGGCTGCCGGCTCGCAGAACGAGCTCATAGATGCCTGGCCAAAAGATGTTCGAGTGGCCTTCCCTGGCACAACGGACTGCGACCTTTTCCTGAGTTGGCTCCACGAACACTGGGGCCACCCGGAGCCCCACAAAGCCGCACGCACCTGGTGCACTCACGCACCAACGGGACCCGCACCCTCGTTACAGAATTGGCAAGACATCTCGCGGGCCTGCATGGCCTGCGCCCAAAATAAACCGCATCCGCACAGGCACCAACAAGGCGCCTTTGATCCCGCTCTTTTTTCTTCTGGAAAAACTTGGCAACTAGACCTCCTCGGACCCCTTTCAGGAGCAAAGCCGTCGCTATAATAGACCTTGGCTCCCACCAACTCCTTGTCCTCCCTACCCGTTGTTCAAACGCCACGGCCATCATAGCATGCCTCAACCATGCATTTGCCCGCTGGCAGGTGCCCCACACCATCCACTCGGACGGCGGTCCCCCGTTTACCTCCAAGGCACTGGACAACTTCGCCCGGGAGCACAACATACAGTGGCACCACCACCTCCCCTATCACCCACAATCCAACAGAGTCATCGAACAGCATATTGGTCTCTACAAAGAACGCCTCTGTCTCAAGGGCGGGGGCTCATATAAAATTGGACCAAACACTCTGACCTGGTCCTTACTACCCTTAACAGCGACAAACTCCTTTGGGAAGACCACACTCCCCTTCCTCGGCCCCCCTGGACGCCCTGCTATGCGGCTTCGGACCAAGTCTGGGTCTCGATCCCCGCCGCAAACAACTGACAGCCCATTCCTGTTGTGGGAACAGTCTTACAGCCCGGCGATTTCCCTAACACCTACCTAATTTCTCTCCAAGCAGCCTCACCTCCACGCAACGTCTTAGCCCATCACAATTGGCTGAGTCGTCAGGCGGATTTATCCCCCGTAGCCCGCTAACCCCCCGTATATAGTTGTTTTTTCTTCCAGGACACCATCATGATGTCCCATTTGCCCTTGTGTACTTGTTGTATCCTGTTGTTTCTGCCCATCGATTGGACCTCAGCCAACCCGCAGCGAAGACCGTCTCACCCGCGCAACGCCGTCTTAAGCCTCCTGTCTACTTGGGCCACCTATACAACTGATCCGGATGATACCACCGGCCTTACAGCCTGTCTGCATCTTCCCATTGTCATGACCCAAAAGGCATGATTGTGTGTGTGTGCTTCGGCATCAGAATTATCCACGTTAAGTTGCAGAGCATTGCACGGGAGTTTCCTGTAGCAAGAGGAAACCCCGGTGCAGGGACCAGTTTCCCGCCTTTTCTGCAGCTTCTTTTGCAGAGTGCATTGCTCGAGTTGCAAGAGGAATGCATGGTGCAAAAGAGTTCCCGCCACCGGTATGCAAATT